TTTCCATATCCGCCCTATTCACTGGCTCAACGAACAATTTATGTATTGCGAAAAAATCACTAGTAAAATTGAGAAAGAAAAGAAAAGCAAAATATATATGTAAATTTCTTCATGTATTGCGTTAGCAGAAAATCGAAAGAGAAAAAATCAAAAATTGTAAGATGGCAAACATCGCAAAACTAAAAATTCGCGCTACCGTAAAACTAAAAACAGTTGACCGTAAAAATGCACGTTAAATTGCTGTATAGCTCATACATGCACATTTACGTATGTACAATACGTTATCTCAACTCCATCTTGTATCTCGTGCGCTTTAACAGTTATTTGGTAGAGCAACAGCATGAGTTTTATTAACTTTGTTGGTTACTTGTTTGGTTGACTATTTACTTGCATCCTATAGGTATGTAAGTAGGCAGCTAAGTAACACATGTAACTTCACTAAGTAGGTAATTTCTTAATTGCAATCGCTGCCTTTTTCCACCACACGCTGGCAGCACAACACTCTTGTTATGTAGTTTTTTTTTGCTCAGTATTTTTTTCTACGAGTAACTGTAGTTGATTGGTGGGCGTTACTTAGTACTCGTAGCTCTTTAACCATTTCGGCTTGCTTTACATGTGTACAAAAATATATAGTAGCAGCATGGCAGGTGGGCGCGCAGCATGAGCTACATACATAGCTGAGTGATGTTCGTAATTGACTTTACAACTTAATTGCTAGCTTATGTTGATGGCAGTTAATGACAGTTAACGGTAGTTGTCAGTTGCATGTGACGGTAGGTGTTTAAAGGGTGGTCGGATGAGGGAATTGTGATCGGTTGGTGTGAGGCACTATGCGAAATGTATTCCTTAACTTTCTGAGTATAATTTGAGCACTGAAAATAATTATTTCCATGGACGAATATATCACCGCTGATGTCATGAGCATGTATGTACATTCCAAGATGGCAAATATTGTGTTGTTTTCACTCTACCTAAAATTAACTAATATGTCACAGCGGAACACAGATTTCCCTCCACATGCAGCCATTAGGCCACAGATCAGTCTTTCTAGCTGAAATATACTCCATATAAATCTATGTGAGGCTCTTCTACGACTAACAGTCTCGCAAAACGATTATGCTTGTGTTTGAGAACAGTGTAAGTAGGCTACAGTTTCTCCAACTGTTTGATGACCTACAAATAATACGATTTTCGACGACCTTCAAATCGATGATTTTCTTATTCACCAAACCACTTATTCACCTCTGAATGTTTTGTTTCTTGTTTGATATAGAAAAATAGCCTGACGAAAGAGAACATTTTCCCACGAAACTTTGTCGTTTTAACTGCAAATTGCCCTTAAATCCGCCCAATTTCTTTTCGGATCGTTACGAAACAACACAAAACTGATTCAAATTACGATGGCTCTTCAAGAAACACAAAGCTTTTAAATTGACAAGCGAAAGCTCGCCCTGCGAGTATACCCCGCTTGAGGTCTAATTTGGTGCCATCGGTGTGTATATGGCTACAGAATTAGGATACAGGTTCAAGATTTGGCCTTCTTCCCATTCGCTTTCAGAGGCGATCCTTGTGTGAAAATAATTCCTCAGAGCAAGAGACGCAGTCTAGGCGCTTGAAGTTTGCAGGAAGACCTTCTATAATTCTGGTTTGTCGGAATCTCCTCTAACTCGTAATAAGAATACTCTTAGAATAGAAGCAGGAATTCAGAGCCGATCAGCATTAAATTTTTGTCGATTTCGAAAAGGCTTTCGACGGCGTAGAGGTATGCCCGAAAAAGCTTTAGCTATCGGTAAATCTACATACGACAGAGCTGACTGTGTGTACTTCGCAAAGTAAAGCTGTCAGCGACCTTCGAAGTTTACAGCGGGATTGGATAAGTTTGCATATTTTCACCTCTTCCCAGTCTTTTGGTGATTGGGGTTGTATTGGCGGTTGCAATGAGACTACTCCCCGACTTCGGCCTTCGGTTGTCCAGGTCCAGTTCGCTGCAGCACATTGACGACGCTGACCATATACATATGTCTTTGGCGCATCGTCTTTCTGATCTGTCTAAAATAGGCAGATTCTCCGAATTTTTTTTCTTGTAACAATCACAAATGAGCAGTTGCTCAGAAAGGCTAGCATTGCGCCTCTTGACATCTAGATTCGAAGACAGAAATGGGAGTGAATATGCGTAATACAAATGGCAGTATTGTAAATAAGGTCTTGGAATGGAATACCCTAATCGGCAGAGGCAGGCCTCCCGGCAGAATGCGCAAATCGTGGGGAAGAAAAGTCGATCGGCATGCGAAGAAAATGGGATTTAACTGAAACGAGGTCAAAGCGACTGCCAAAAACAGAACCAGATGGCGCGCAGGCGTAGTTGAACGCCTATATTCCGCTTGGTATAAAGGAAACGAAGAAAAGCGAGAGATACGCGAAATGTTCACACCTACGTAAATCTGCGAAGTATTTTTATTTAAAAAATCTATTTTTTTTTGTAACCTTGTGGCTGCTATCTCGGCTGGAACTAATGGAATAATGCAAACAAATTCATGATATACATACATATCTGTATAAGTATAGCTTAAACTATTCCCAAATATGAAGAAACAATTTAGCCATTTCACGAATTCGCACGCGGCTCGTTGCGCATAAAATCTGCATATGATTTGAAAAGTAAAAAATTTGCATAATTTCAACATTAGCAGCCGTGTACATCCGGCTTAGATTCATTGCGTTCGCCAGGCTTTAATGAAAACAAAATTCATGCTTAAGACAGACCAAGTGTACTTAAGCATATTTTATGCATTGATTTTGCTTTGATTCTTACGAAACGCTATTTTATTTACATTTTTTTTTTTGTATTTTTTCCCAAGCTTTTACTGCGCATTTCTTTTGTGTCACAGGCAATTAATGCGCATTGTCTTTTAAAATTCTCCTTTTTATGCTCTCTAATTGTAAAAAAAAAAAAACCTTCCCAAGCTGGGTTTTATTGCGGCGCATCGTAATGACAAAGATCGTTAAATTTGGGAGCGCGCTGGCTGGCAGCCGCAATACCGTGCAGAATTTTGAGTGTGTCTACTTGAGCTCATCCACACATGCAGAGCAGATCTGGCATGACAGTCTACATACTACTGTACTAACGACTGACTGCCTTCGTTTGAGTTCAAAGTCAGTCAACGACTGCTCTACTATTTAGTTGAAGTGCTAAGCAAGACTTGACTGGTCTGATGAAAATTCCGATTTTTTTTTTTTTTTTTTTTTTTTTTTGGCATAAATGTAATTATAACATATTCAAATAAGCTCATTGTGAGCTGCTTACTTGAGCATGATATTATTCATTTAGCTATGTATGCTTGCAGCTACTCCACTCGACTATAATTCCAAGTGAAAAGCCTGACAGCTTATAAACATAGTTGCATTTTATGCTCAATAATAGTCAAACAATGCAAGGTTGCGTTCGTATATCAGATGGGCATGTCTGATCTCGAGGCTTGAGTGCAAGATCACTGATCAGCTATGTATGTGGCATAGAAGGGCACCCAACTTAAGCAGCCGCTTAAGCGGCACTTTAGATAAATTTAATGTAATTTAACAGTTTCGCGCCAGCGGAGTTTGTAAAGCAAGTGCAGTGTAAGCACAGCACACATGCCGCGACAAAAAAAAAGCAAAAATATCCAGCTGCTGTACCAATTCTGCGCACTTGTCAAAGGCGCGGCATGCTGCCGCTTTCCGCTGCTGTTTCGCTTGTTTTCTCTATTTACATTTTTCAATTTATTTTTTCAACAACTGTCCAGTTGTCATGTTGTGCCGAGCGCAAACTGCCAGCAAAGTCAAGTGTCAATTTGTTGCAAGCGCTGCTTGATCATTTAAGCGCTTGGGCTGCTGTTTTCGGACGGCGTCAATGGCAGCACGGCCTTGATAATATATGTAAATAAACTATACTAACTCCAATTGTTTTGTCAACATGCTCATAAGTTACTGCGATATTATGCTGTGTTATTTTCTTTTCATTGAGCTGCCTATTCTACTTAATTAAATATTTACTTAACTGATTGCATACTAATCGCTTTCTGCTCTTTTCTTTACAGCCAAATGAATCTGGTTTCGTGCTACTCGGTGATCTCTCATTGGAAACTTCAACCGATTCGGATTATGATGATTTCTCCATGTGCCCACCATCTCCCTGCGATGTTGAATTCGAAAATGCTAATATTGTGATCGATGGAAAGTCAAGCATTCGACAGAAGTCCAAAGAAGCAACGGTAAGTGGAATATATGTATATACATATTTAATAAATTTTCAGTCGTAGGGTTCATTTATCTCGCGCGCGACGTTCTTAAATATTTCAAGCGCACAATTAATTCATTTATCACAATAATCATTAAGTGACACTCGAGAAATAGCCGCTGCAGGCAAAGTGAAAAGAAGCGAAGCAAACGAGCAGAGGTCGAAAAAATCGTTAAGTTAAAAAATATAATTTTTTTGTGGTATCTTGTCACTAGAACATATGGGAAATTTATGCACGTGTACTAAAATGTATCAGCCGCTGAAGGCAAAGTGAAAAGTAGAAAAGCAATCGACTAAAGGCCGAGAAGTCGTTAAGTTAGACATCACTTTTTTTGTTATCTTGCCACTAGACCATATGGGAAATACATTTTCACAAAATTTTTCTAACATTGGGTTCTTTATCGCGTTCGAGGCCTTACTGCTACTACTAAGAAATTGATTACCATCTACTTTTGCCACATTCGCTTAGACAACTATGATTCTTAAGCCACAACATTTTATAAAAAGTCTTATCACAGCGCGTGGTAGTTATAAATAATACAGTGCTAAATTTCTATAAATTCCACTCTATATGCGCCGAAACTGTTTGCTTTTAATATCAAACTTTGATAAGATTAGATTGTTATGTTCCTTTAAAGTAGAAAAATGATTGCTCTTCTTGTCAATAGTGCAAATTAATTGTTTACCATTTTCGTATTTATTATCGTTAGCATTTTATATAAGCACAATTCGTCATAAATTTGTATAAAAAAACTTACGTCGCATATGCAAAAGCCTACATATATATTTTTATATGGGGTCTCCCGTCAAACAATTTTAAAAAATGCATATCTGTGGATAAGAAAGACAACTTTTTAAGACTTCTACTTTATGTTTTCTTTGCGCTTATAAGGCGGTAAGAACTGTTGTTGGGCTTGCCACCCTATCTAGGAGCAATAGAGTACTTTCTATGCAATGCCACATGGACAGTGGTGTTAGCTGAGTGGGTTTAACCCTAAAAGCCCAATCTACGCCTGGGCAGAGAATACGTTTAATAAGGCTATGTTTTATAGTTAGCTTATATAACAAACCTCAATATTTTTTTTTGAAAAAATGATTAATTAAGTATATTTTAACTCACAGGCTGTCTTTCAAACTCCCAAATAGATTAGGCTTCTAGGGTTAATATGTGGTTGGTGTCATGTGGGGTGCCTACATAAGCCGGACATTTGTTAGGTATGTCAGTGTGAATTATGGATAGGTTGGCGTTAGTCTGTTTCAGTATCCATACCTTAGTGGTTCCAGATTTATTCCGGTCTCTCGAGGCAGCTGACGCTGCAATAACTTTTAGTTAAACTCCGATGACGCCATTCACGGGGCGAGAGTTTGGTCCACGCCTTGATTGTGTCTCGATGAATGTTGGTACCTAATGGGTAAATTGTTGCTTCTAGGAATGAAGTTCGTTCCAGTCGTTCAGGTATACTAACGGCTCTATTCTGTATCAGTGGCAAATTCTTGTCATAGTTTTTGTTACGGAAAAATATATGAAAAAGTTTAAATTTGTCAGTAAAAAAAAATGTTTGTCACCGATACAGAATTGGGCTATACATAAGTTCTAGAACGCTTCCGTTCAAGTCTGTACACACTGGACAACGTGAGCAATCCGAGATAGGAGACATAAACCCTATAAAGACTTTATCTCGAATGGAAGAAAGAGAGCTTGTGAGGGTGAGGTTCACTCAAGACTATATGGCTGGCTGTAGATTTGGCTTGAACCTCGTAAAAATCTTCTTAATAACAACTTAGTACCACGAAAATACCACTTTCGAGTTGCGTTCAATATCGAATGCCGCCACTCGAGCCCTGATTTCAATATACTTTTTAATTCTACAATGCCAAAATGCCAACGCTAATTTGCAAACGAATGATATAACGCAATCGCAATTCCAATAGGTTACATCCAATTCATTTGCATACCTCATTCACTTTTGCTTTTGATTTCACTACCCACATTTTCTATTTCAGTATGTCACATTAAATATCTATTGTTTTGCTAGTAATTGACAGGTGAACGCAAATGAATTTAGTAAAATTTCTAACGTGCCAATTTTGTAGGCAAATTAGCAAAACATGCTGACACACGTTTTAAATAATGAACAACAAAAGCAAAGCTAAAGCTCGAATAAGCTTCATCGCATACTGAAGTGTACAGTCAGCACCCTTTTTTCGCCAGCATGAATGGGTGACACCAAACACACACATTCACATTTGTGCCTCAAATACTAATGATATGCGCAAAAAAAAAATGAAAACGAACAAAATTGTTTTCGTTTACTCAGATTTCACAAATTCTATGCGCATAACAATTACGCCAGAAATAGCCGTCCAAACGACAGACCGGGCATGAAAATGAATTTGAAATTCAAGCGCAATCTTTTCATTTGGTCCCCTTTTCAATCTTGTTTTGGTTTTTACTTCTGATATAAAATAAACGCTAGCGTAAACAGTAGCGCGTTACGACACCATTTTGCTGCATAACATTTTTATATGTACTAATAGGCCTACTGCATGGGAAGTGCATTAATATTTTTCCCTTTCATTGAGCCTGCGAAAAGCGCTATAGCTCATGTTGGTCGCTGGTGGAGGCGTTAAAGTGCTATTTCCGGCTTAGCATTCGCGCTATATGTCAACCAAGTGAGATATTAAAGCGCGCCCAGCAATTTTTATTATGCCCGACCCGAAATGAGGGCATGTAGCAAGCTATTGATATCTAGTAGTAGATTTGAGCTTTAAGTTGCATTTGATTATTTAAAATGCATACGCAGAGGTTGTTAACATAAAAACTTAAGGTATTAAACAGAGGTTTCGTTTATTTATCGGGTACTGCGCATTGGTATCGCCTATTTAGTGGCATAAGGCTTAAGATTTTGTCAGAGGAAACAATATCAGGGACCAATCTAATCAAATTAATTTAAAAAAAAACTTCTGGTTTTTTCGCACATGAAAATTCAATGACTAAGTGCCTACATATCAGTAAATCGTTAGTTGTACCCGTTGTCCGCTACTGCGTTACATTGTAACCAATTTTAGATCAAAACTCATATCTTATGCATTAAATTCGGACCACTTTTAGTACATCTCACCTTATTAACATTACATTGCTTTCAATTTTTGAACTATTTTTGGTCTAGATGCAAAACTACTATACCTACGACTATATTTTTCGAGCAATTGGACCAATCTTTCCTTCAGAACAAATGCTTCGCGAACACTATGATAAAATTTGGTACATGCATAACAAAGGGTTAATTTCTTTGTGTACATTTTTTGACATTACAGACAGCTATGAGTGAGCTTGACTGATTTGTCACTTCTACCTTGTTGAATATGCCTTGGTTCCTTGTCATCGATTTTTCTTGCTCTGGCGTTTTTCTCTGATTATAATATTTTTCGCGATGAAAATAAAAGTAATGCCATCAGTACGAATAAACTTTTTTACAAAAGCTCAATGCTTCCTTCTTCATACAGATATTATAATTTCGCTTAACGAAGCTCCGTGACAAAAGGATGAATGGTCCTACACCCCCTTTCCTGGCCATAAGAGTAGAACTCCGCACTCATGCCGTACATAAAACTTATCGTCGATATTTTTGCAAAACCGCCCATCGAACAGTTGCAAAACCACCTAAATCGCCATTGTGGCAAAAATGAGATTTGGTAACCCTGAACTCCAGGCATCGAGATTTATGCATAAAAATCATAAAATCGTTATTAAAACAACAGATTTGTAAAATAATAGCTAGAGAAAATGCCGCCTATCAAGACAATGCCTTCAAAGAAAAACCGGTTTTTCGCTCTCCTGTAAAATTTGAGTGCCGAAAGATAGGGTGTTTTGCAATTGGTCGATGGGCGGTTTTGCAAAAACATTGACGTTATGTATAACTACATAAAGTGAGATAAGTCTAACGTTGTTCATACCGAGTGCAGAAAGGAAATTTTGCACTTTATCCTTCCATTTATTTCGTGGGCGGCCTTTCTTTTGTTGTTCATCCATGGGTGCTGAGTCGAAGGTTATTTTCACTGGAGCGTCTTCATCTTTAGAGTGAACAGGTTATTACGTTCAGACCAGGGCCGGCGAAACGAAAGAGTATACAGGTAAAGAAAATAGGTTGTTGATGTAATTGAGAACGCTAGCAGGGTATGTTAGAAAAACTTATTGTATCGTGTATAATACATTTATTTTTCATACATACTATGGCAATTATCATTTAATTCAATTTCGAAAAATTTAAATGCGTCCCGATTCGTTTTATTACGAACCATACGAATCACAAACCAGTCCATAATATTGTGGCGAATACTAAAAACACGAATGACAGGTGAAAGCTAAACAGAAAAGGATGGCAGGTGGTTCTATGTAATAGAGAAGGACGGGAATGTTCTATAACGATAACTTTCGATAAGGACCTTCTGGGTGCGAAGTAACGCTGGTATATAAAGGCCTTGGAACATTGCTCGGAAAGCTCATTTGTAAAACAAAAAGCTACGAGTTAAGTTGCGAATAACCAAGCAAGCTTTGTGTAAATTTGAAGTTACCAAGTATGTATTGTAAAACGTTGTGAATCGAGAATTGTCTTTCCAGGTATTGTTAAGTGTTTGTTGCACAATAAAGTAAATTTCGACATATTTTTCTTCTAAGAAATTTTCAGGTGGGTAAATACCCAGCTTTACAAATTTCAGGTGGGTACCCACCATACCCACGTCTTCCGCCACCCCTGCATCAGACAGATTTTGCATAGAAGTAAACTCTAATATTTTGATCTTCCTCATTAAACCTGAACCTTTGCAAAGAAGACCTCCTACTCCCCACTATTCGTGTTTGATCCAGCAGCTTGTACAGGATTGATGTCTATCCATCAAATCTGGGTGCTAACTAGCGGGAATTTTTTTTATATACTTAGCTCTGGACGGAATTGAGGTCCGATCCCCGCTTGAGTTCAATGTGGAACTCTCTCTGGCTAACTCATCAGGAGCCCTTTTGCAACGATGTTGCGATTACTAGGGTACCAAGCTTAGACCACGTCGAGTTGATTGTCCAGTTTCAACTTATTTTTGAAACACACCAGCGTTATAATGCCCTTACGACTGCTCATAAAAATGCTAACTTGCTCGCCTTACAGTTAACGTAAGCTACACTGAGAAAAGAGTTTAGTTACGTCAACTTAATATGTTTTTCTCAATACATGATTTGGTTATAGTTACATTATTTTGTAATAGTTACCAAACCATGTGTTGAGAGATATATATATTTATCTGACTTTTTTCTGTGCAGTGTCTAAGACGTTGCATAAACCGACTTTTTCGGCACAAGCAGACGAATAAATCCCAAGAGCTTGACTTCATATCACACTTCTATGTAAGTATTTCTTTTCATCAAATCATTTGATATCCTTTTTATACTATACAAACTCCTATCCCTCGTTCACAAGCATACTAATGTATTGTCTGCAATATTTAAATATCAAAATTACTTATTGCTGATTATTGTACGAATATAATGATTACTGTTTGCCACTTTTTCTAAAAAAAATATGCATGCATATAAAATTTATCTATGCACATTTCTTCACTATTGCATTTTGTTTGCATTCAGCTAAACATGGAATTTTAAGTAGCACAGTGCGCGAAATTGATTGATTTCACGCACCAATTTCATGCACATAATTTACGCTCAAAAACTGACAACACCTTTGCTTTTGTATTTAAAATAAATAGATTTCTTAAGTGTCTAATTTTCAACAGCAAATTGAATAACTTTTTTGAATTGTTCGATTTTGTTGTAAGTGCCAATGCACGACTTGAGCTTTCGGATGATGTAAGGCGATTTGAAATGAATGACTGTAGTTTTGTTAATTTGTAAAGAGGAAAGAGTAATACCGAAAGAGTATTACTTGCATACCGATCAGGTAGATAAGATACATGCATACCATGTGAATAGTTCATTTAGATATACTTAGTGTGTAATATTTATGTACTTAGTTCAATTGTAACGATATTTCAAAGGTTGATGCCGGAATATATAAATTTGAATGCTCTAGTTTTTTGAACGAAATAACGCAATGAACCTGTTGGAAAAGCGTTGTACCTTTTATAGATTCTTATTCTTAAAGCTTCTTATAGAATGAGCCGTTTGGATTTGTCTCCTGAAAAAATTCTGGTTTTTGACAAAGTTGGCACTTAGTTTTTTAGTAGTCTTCTTGCTCTTTTAAAGACAAATCGCGAAAGTTTTCTGGGGCAAACCACACCCAAAAGTAAAGCTGACGTTACTTTCATGCAAAGAGGTTTTATAACTTGGAAACTTTTGGATAACAGTCGATTTTTTAAAGCTTGAGTGGCATAACCTTACAAGCTAAAGATTCTAGAGGCGCGTTTTCAATTTGCAGTTAATATTTTTGCAACGGTTTTCAAATACTTTTTGAGCTTACTTCAAAAATCTTGTCTCACACACCCTGACCAGAGCAGGTTTGTTTTTGTTTTCATAATTTCAGACTTGAGCTCCCAGAGGTTCCAGAAGGGGCTGAATGTATATGTGGCTCTGAACTCTGGTAACACAAACACGTCTGGTTTCCGCTTCTCAGAAATTTTAACTAAGCAAGCAAAGAATTCTTGACATAAAACTATTACGACCATGCGAATGTATCGATATTTTTGGTCAACATTTCAAGATATTTAGATTAATTCCTAGTGTACGTCATCATGGACTCGATGGCTGTATTCACTACAAATTTCAAAGGAATACTCGATGATGCCTTAGGTATCACTAGATAATACTCTACTCCTAGTGGATACTCCACCACCCACACATCTCTTCCCGGGAGGATGTAGTATTTAAAGCTACGTCCCTGTGGCCAGTTTCATGGTGGAATCGAAGCTGATTGGATCAGAAATAGCCGCTTAAAAGAAGCACCAAACTAGATGCTTAAAAATGTAATACCTTTCGACGAGGTTAAAATATATTCAGACAGCTATTAAAGGATACGTTCGAAAACTCACAGGAAACGCCTGACTTCTCACTCGATTGTATCAGATTCGTTCGCTATCAAGCTTTTTTTCCAGCTACAGACCATGAGCTGGTAAAGCAAGAAACTCTTGAGAAACCATTTTATATTATTTTTATTGGAGTTCAATAGGGCCAGGGCCTTCTGGCTACGGTTTAACCGATGGCGGTCAAGAGAGCTCTTAAAACTAAATAGGCAACATCTCTTGTTACTGGTGGAAGTTTTTACGGGTGGTTGTCACACAACACCTCAATCTCGTAGTTCCTTAACTTTTTGGGGGATTGTGAGGCGTAACCGTCTTAGCACCAGCTACTCAGCTGCCTAGCTTTCGCGAGTGTAAGGATTAGACACTTTGGGTTTTACTCCTTTGTCACTTCCGAGGCGCTTTCGAAAATAGAGATTAGCCGATTGCGGTGTTATTAGAGCGAAGCGTATTTCTTCTACAAATCCTTAGGTGTCAGCGTTCAACCCTACTTTGCTCTTTCCCTGCGTGTGCCCTCCCTTTCTTAATGGTAACACAATAGACAGTTTATTTAATAGTATGAGGGCGCCTCACTCTCTGGCCATAACAGGTCACGCATCATCATGCTTGTACTTCTAAGCTCGTTGGAGAAGCTTTCTAAAACTTTGAATGGAGTCCCCCTGATCGACACTCTTCTAAACCAGTAACTGCCGAAATATATCCCACCGAATAATCTTTTTGAATCGTTCTTTAGACTTTGTATGGACGCGGCCAGATTAAAAGCTCTCTCTGGTAATCGCTCCAAAGCAACCCGGATGTTAAAATGCTTATCATTTCATCTTTGAAAGAGTCGACTGTTACCATCAAAGAAATCGTCCATGTATTAAATCAATCATATGTATATAAACATTATTTTAATAATTTTCCCCTTCTCCACTTACAGTTTCGCGTACAATTCAACGATACGCTCACCTCCACCTTTGAATATCCCTCCGAGGCGTCACTAATCATAGACGATTCCTTCAGCAATGATGCGCTGATAAGCGCCTATGAGAATTTTTCATTGAATGATTCAACGGACTCATCGCCGACGCGACATCATCATGTAGCCGTTGATGAGATTATACAACTGCCAACGCCGGCGAGTCCCTCGCCTCCCGCCAATAATGCCAGCAGCGCAACAAATACGCCAACAAAAAACATACTGGGGAATTTGCCATTAGGTAAGTGATTTGAAGTTCGATGTTCAATGCTTTCCATTTGCGCCATTAACCATGACACGCAACACTAATTTTAATAACATCAATATACTTACAAACAAACAACAACAACAACAACATAACAGAAAAAAAATCTCAATCGAACGAGAAGTTGTTCATCACATTCATTTGTTGGCTTTTCATGTGCAACAGTCATTTAATGTTTGTTGTTTTTGTGTATTATTTCTTACTTTTTGGAAATCTTTACATCTTCTGTGTCAATTTTTTTGTTGAAAATATCGAAATTTGTACTTTTCTTTAGTTTGTGTAGTCTTTGTTTGTCTAAAATTTCTACTACACGTACATACATATATTTGTTGTTAATTATCTTTACTCTCTAATTGTTAAGCTGTCTTCTAAGTGTTTTTGTAGTAGTCTTCTTTACCTTTTACCTTGTGATTTTTTTCGGTGGTTTAAATTTTTGTTGCTGCTGTTTACGTAAATTTTCTATGTTTTCTAACACTTACCACACTTTTATGTGCCTCCATCCTCTATCAGCTTTCGTTTCGTACCTCTTTCTTATATGTTTTTCTCTATTTTTTACTTAAAAAAAACTTTCCTGCACTTTTGTAACAACTACTCACAAAATAATATTTTCGAAATTTTTGGAATTTTTTTTATTAAATTTAAAAGAAACTACAAATAATTGGAGAACACAACGTTTTACACAGTTTGATGCAGCAAAACAACAACATGTAAAAAAAATAAAAAATAATAAAAAACAGTTCGAAAAACCCCTCCTTGAAAAAGGGTATTTAATTAAAAATAAAGACATGCAGTTAAATAAAAATTCATGAAAGTAATTTAAAAAATTAAAAAAAAAATCCCTGAAGTCGCCCTAAAAAATAGTAATTATTAAAAAGCGCATTCACTGTCCCCCTTGCTTGGCATTTTTGTGCAAACTCCTTTGAAATCTTAAAAGTAACACCCTCACTTCCTGGAAACTGTGCGCCCATTCTTATATCAACCCTGTCTTCTATCTCACTCTCTCTCTCTCTCTTCAGTTTCAGCCGCCTCTCTTACAACTGATTATAGTACGCCCACTACAGCTGAGTTACCGCCTTGTCTGCTCGAATGTTTCGATGAGCTCAAACAGTGTAGATTTAGCAAGAAAAAGCAGTTTTTAAAAATACTAACGACACCATTTCGTAAAATTTTTAAAATCTTAAGGTTGGTGGTACTACCAAGTGTGTCCTCCCTATTTGCAAAAATACTTCTTTTGACACCTGTTTTCATGTTTTTTCCTCGTATGTACATATGTATATGACAAATTTAGATTTTTAAAAATTTTCACATTTCCAAATCGCTCATTGTTTTGCTAGTGGAATTTATCATTCATTTCGTCTCATCAAAGAAAAATTCGTATTATTTATGAACAAGATTTGATTCCATTTACAATCGCATTAGATGAGAATCTAAGGAAACCGAGATCGTCTCTTTTAAATTTGGGTTATTTTTCGTACCACGTCTTTTGAATCTCAAAATGGTCATTTACACATAAAAAAGAGTATACCAAACCCCCAAAATTAGAATAACTAACCAAACCCATTTCAGAAAAATATACCTCTTTGAACCCACAAATTCGTAGAGACCACCGCCATTGACTTGGCGCAATGGCTTCTTTGTTAGTTATTTCGAATAAAAAAAAAAAAACAAACAGAACTTTAGTGTAGGCATCTTTTAAAAAGTTTGTTCGAAATTTGCTGACTCTTCCAAGACTTTGCTGCTTTCGCACGACTCCTAAGGCTTCTTAGTTAGCTTACCATTTTCGCTTAACTGGTCACTTTAGAATCTTATGAACCAGAATGTTGGCTATAGCCAAAGGTGCATACCCCAGAAGCACACGCTGCGGCATTAAAATAGTGCCGATCTCTGAAACTGTTAGCTGAGATATTTCGCGCTACCGTTGCCTGCTGCTCGGCCTACCTTATACTTAGCATATGTACAGACCTTCAAAATTCGAAATTGAGGAAAGTTTTGGAAGAAACGCGGTCAAGTAGAAGCCACGCGCCATATTACTCCTAAGACCTAAGACGTCTATTACTTTGCTATCACCAGAGGGATAATATATAGAAGAGAAAAAGACATTTGTGATTATTTTAACTTAATTTAAATAATCTTGTAAAAAACTTATGTCGTGGTTGATATTCCATTAAAAACATCGTTATGAACTCTGATATTAGCCTTTTTTTTTAAATTTGACTTAAATTTAAGATGGAATGACTTAAATTTAAAATGGAATGACTTGGTTTAAGGCACCTCTCTCTAAATGACAATTAAAGAGTATCTAAAATTGAGGTTTATTTCAAAATTACCCAAAAAAAGGAATCGAAGCATTATCCACATTTCTGAGTTCAATTTATTGTAAGCCCGCTTTGCGAAGTCAGTTTGTGCTAAGTCCCAAGTGCCGAACCGACTCGAAATAAATCTGACGTCATGTAATAATTGCATATTGGAGTTTCCTAACCGCTTTCTCAAGGCACCACCTTGTCAAGATTACCAAATAAGCGCTCTTGATTCATCCCGTATCCAGCTGGCCTTACGATTGATCAGTTTTCATAAAGAGGACGCCTCATCTATTCGCCTGTAATATCTGTCTTTATCTCAGCTAACTCTACGATCAATTAACTTTCACGATATTAATGTGTAAGGAATTTGCTTGATCAGAATTGATTTGGGTCGACGAATGTACTAGCCGTGGGAACGTTAAGTTGGCCTTGGTAGCAGTTCCAGTTTGTTGTGTCTATTCAATGTGATGACAAAAGCAGGCTATTTACTGCGTTTATAAGGTCACAAATTTCTGCAGACGTTGCCAGATGTAGGTTCTACTACATATATACATAGGTATGTACCTTCAAATTTGTCATGCTTAATCGGTCTAGAACTCCGGTTCGCAACGAGGCGTCAAAAAGTTATGCTTGGTGGACTCCCTGCTGGCCAAAAGTTCTACTTGGAAGCACTCGCGGAGTCTCTACATATGTATGTCGAAATCAGGCCCTCATGCAACTCATTAGAGACTCATAAACTATAACTTATAGACGTTTCGAAGCATTCAGGTATAGAATTTAATTCGATCTTTCCTTGGTCATAGATCGTTCATATTGTGAATACTCTAGGCGATTTTGTTAGTAAATTGCATAATATCTTAGGTCTCTATTAGGCTGAAGTAAACTCAAAAATTCATTCGAGCATTCATTAAATTTTCACACCAACGAAATTCATACAAATTGGCAATCCTTTTGTACATTTAGTACCAAAACCCTGAACACTTTTTACAATGCGCACCTGTTCCGTACTTTTTTAGAAATTCGATAAGTACATACTTACTTTTCTTTTTGAAATTCCCATTTCGTAATACTCTTTTCCAAAACTTTACATATCAATTCGCTTTCATAAGCCAAAGAAAAAGAACGCTCAATATCTCAGCCAGTTCTCTCATGTATTTGCAATGACAAAAAAAAGCCAAAATTAGAACAAACAAAAAATTGCACACAATTTTTGCAGATTACCCAATTTTAGACAAGGGTATAACGTCACAACAACAACAACAACAGCTACCACAGCAGCAGCCATTGAGCCCGCAACCAAATTTGGAAGAAGAGCCAAATACAGAGAACGTTGCAACGCCGCCTTTGTCAGAGTCAGAGCCATCGATGTTGGCGCCAAATTCAGCGGAGAAGACTCCTTTATTGCGACCACAGCCCGAAATAGCATACAACGCCTTACAACAACCAACGCTGTTGTCGTCGCACGCCGAAAATACCGACAAGCGCGACGCGGCAGCGCCAACTCACGCGCCAATGCCACAGCCGCCGGTGCAGCCACAACGACCCACAAATTTGCCGTTGCCAATGTCGTTGTTGCCCACAGTGGCGACACAGAAAAAGAGGGAAAAGAAACAACAGGAGGCACAGCAAAAGCAACAGCAACGGGCGTCGAAACAGAAACCGCAATTGCCAGTCAAGCGGGCGGACAGAGTAACGCGAACTCGTTCCGCGTCGGCGGCACTGGTGTCAAAGGCATCGCCTGCGAGTGCATTGCCACAATTTAAGCCGATGGAGGCGGAAATGAAACAGCAAAAAGACGTAAACAATTTGACGGAAGCAGTAAAGGAGAAGGAGGAAGCGACGACAGTGGGCAAACGGGAAACGCGTAAAAAATTTGCAAGCGGAAATTTGCAGCATCAGCACACCCTGGCTGCCGACGAGGAGGAGGAGGTTGACAAGAGGGATAAGCGAGCAACGTATGTGAAACCAACAACAGCAAAGAGCGTGCGGCAGCAAAAATCAAACGAATCGACAGCTCACACGGTGGACGAGTCGCCTCCAGCGTTCGGCGTGCGTGGCGCTGCACAACAACCTGGCATTTTGCGCGATTTCCAGCTGGCAAGTGTAAACACAAGCGAAAACGATACCAAAAATACAACCAATAACACAGCTGCCTCAGGCGGCGCCAGCACACGCCACACCAGCAACAACACAGCGCGTTTAAGCAACAAAACAACAACAACAGAAAATCTCACAAACACTACAACAACTATTACGAAAAAGCCAATAAGCAAATACAGAATGTTTCATACACTTTTTGAGGCTCCAACAGAAGCAGCAACGACCACAGGCGCGGCCACATCCGCATCCCCTCAGCGCCCACGCAAAACGCCTTCAGTGCTCAATAAGCCACAATATGCGCGCTTTTTGCAAATTGAACTCGCTGCCACCACAGCGCCTGCAGCTGCGTACGCAGCGCGTCAAACGGTCTTACGTACGCGCAGCAATGAATTTCAGTGTGGTGCACGTGCGGGCGCTGGTGGCGGCGTCGTCGTCGGCAATGCGGTAGCAAGCACCGCAATACAGCGCGCTAACGTAACGTCATCACATCAGCTCATGCAACCATGCGCATCACAGCAACAACGCAGCGCTTCATTTTCTTTTGGTAACAAAAGTGCGCCTAATGAGCGCTCCACCGAAAAAGTGTACAGCGCACTAAAGGCGCCTGCTACTTGTGTAGACATTGACACTGACAAGAGTAACGTAAACAATGCTAATTATGCTAAACACGTAAACGGAAACAATAACAACAATAAGCAAGCGATTTTGAGAAGCGTCTCCAATAGCTTGAATGGTATTTCCACCGACGATGAGTGCTTTGAGGATGCGATAGATTACTTCTATCCCATTCCCATGACACTTGCATACACAAGCAGTAGCAACAACAATGATGAAAACATTTGTAGTAACACTGAAAGCCAATGTCACCACACAAAAACAACAACAACAACTACAACTAACAGCAAAAACACGCAAAAAAAATGTTTTGGTGTCAGTAGCGCTCCCTCTACTGCGCCAGCAGCACCACCCAAACAATCGCGCACCGTTTGCACCAACCGAACCACCAACAATAGCACTAGTAACCCTACAACAACAATAACAACACTTAAAAGCAATTATTGTGCCACAACTACACTTAACACGAAGTTTACTAGCAACACTACTACTACTACTACTACTACTCGTACTACTACTACTACTTCACGCAACAATTCTACTAACTCAAGTCTCACTTCTTCGCCCACTTCATCTTCTTCTACCACTTTCTATTCTTATTCATCACTTTCTGCAGCGAATTATATGCGCGCCTGTATAGATGTAAACAAAAATCCAAGAATTCTTCATAACAACGCTGTCAAGTGTTTAAGTCCGTCTCCATATGTGCCCAACAAAATTGCATCGTCCTGCAACAGCAATGCTGCTAGTGTTATTGCTGCAACCCAGCATCCAAGTGTCAGCTACAAAGATGGCGCATGCTCCCAACCATCGGCGGCGGCAGCGCTTATTTCGCCTCTTTCTCTGCCAGTCGCTTCTACTACTTTGCTGCGTTCGCGCATACCCGGCAACACCCTGTACTATGTTTGAGTTCCTGTGCGTCTAAATGTTTGTCCTTTGGCCGGTCGCAATGGCCACCATCTGCTCTCCTGATTTTGTAAATTGTCTACATGCGAAAAGTGTGTACAGTCTTTATTTTCCTTTTCATTTCTCTTGCTTTAATTTTTGCTAAATATTCTATATATAAGCGCTTTTCACATTCATTAGCATATGGAGTGGGGCTTGAGGTGTGCAAGTTGGTTCATTCATATGTACATATGTATGTTTGTATATGACAGATATCGGATGTTAAAAATTGTGGTAAAGGTGACACATTATATGAAACGGTAGTGGAGCCTGTTTGTTCGAAACCAAATCCTTTGTATCTTAATACTTGCCCATAATTAAAAAAAAAAAATTATATCGAAAATGACTAAAGTTATAATTTCCCGATCTCATATAGTAGTGGAGGTGAAAGGGCATACGCCAAAAATTCCAAAATAATATTTTAAATAAACTAATGCTTTCTTATGCTTGGATATTAAATGACAAACAATTTATTGACAAAGTTAGATATTGCAAATATTCGTATCATACTTTCAGAATAATAGTCATTAAATCTGTTTCCACTTAACCTTTGGAAACAAAATGCTTTTTTCATTTCAAACTTAATGAAAATTAAGATCATTGCCACTCACTCGATTCATGTGTCATTTCAATGCCTAGTGGCAGTGCGGCGTTATAAATACAAAAACAGTTTTCAAAATAAGAGACATTAAACTGCAAATATCAATATTGATTAGAGTTGTAATTAATTAATATATTGAACAGATCAAGAAGCGTTGCGACCGGTTAGGCCTTGAAATGGTAAAAGTAGCTCGGCACAGTAATTCATATTACTGACTGCGTTCTGAGTTAAACCGGGCGATAATTGTGAGTCCGAAAAAGAAGTGTAACTGAGTTCCCAAATGGTTCTAGTCCTACAGGGACATACGATGAGTCCTCCCTCACCACTTCGTCGACCACCTCATATCCCTTGATTCCGCAGTGACCTGGTATCCAGCAACTGACCTAATTCAATTTAATTGCATTTGCAGTGATTTAAAGAAACATCAGTGACTTATGGAATTTTTTTCTACAACTTAATAATTTATCAAAATTCGCTCCCTGTTCTCAACTTTTCACTCGAAAATTCGAACTTGTGAAAAAATAGAGTTACGAAGCATTGTATAAGTTCCCAATCGAGACCTTTCAAGAGCGACAACAACTAACACAATCATTGATCTAGGCCGAGTTTAGGAAGAGTGCAACAGAAGCATGAACCGGGGCTGGGAATTTTGTAGAGAATTTTCACATTAATATGAGGATTCTGATATAAATTTTTTTTCTACACTGGCGGTCTAAAGTGGATGGATGAGATGAATGGTGTTTTGTTTTTAATATTTACAATTTTTTCAAGTAATTTTTTTTTATTTTTTTAAAAAAATATGGTTCATGCTTTAACGCAAACCGTATAAATCACGCTTTCAAACTTTATACAGAATTTAGCAAATTTCCACAAATTTTTATCAAAATTTCGAGCTTTTTAACCAGAATATTTATAAAAATTTTTGGGCATGCAGTTAGTAGGCTGATACATTTTTTGTAAAATAAGTGCAAGTTTTGAGTGGCTAAAAAATCGTATTGATTTTTAATAATTTTTTTTTCGTTGACGGCGTTTTGCACTTTTTTCCATATAAAAATTAATTTCTTGTGGAAGAATAAACGCAAGACCGTTTGCGGAAAAATTAATAAAGTCAACGCCAATTTTTCTAAATTTTGTTATTTATATGAAAAAAAATCGCAAAAACCGTCAGCAAAAAAAAAAACTTGCACATATTTTACTAAAAACTTATAAGCCTACTAGCTGCATGCCCAAAAATTTTATAAAAATTTTGCTTAAAAAGCTCGAAATTTAGATAAAAAATTGTGGAAATTTTCAATAAATATGTATGTAGCTTAGTAGGGGCTATGGTTAGTAGGAAAGTGGTCTTAGGGCCTTGCGTCGTCCACCGAATTTGGTATTTCTAAGTTAGTAGTATAATTCTGTATGAAGTATCGACATTTGTATATAATTCCTCTCTCATGATGAGTACTTCTTAAATTTATAGGTAAACTATTTCAACGCAAAATAACACCGATATCTGCCAAATGAGGTGTTACCGTTTTCAACATTATAGGGAAATTGCTTGTGATGTTTACACATATCGTCATTGTAGTTTAACTTATGTACTATTAACCTGGTTGGGCTATGCATTATTTATATACACTCTTTTACACATAATTCTGAATGGGGAACAATAATAATCATGCTACACATACCTATAAAATACGTACTAAGATTTAATACAAAAATACATTCAACATATATATACATGGGTAAATCTTTAAGAAAATACCAGTTTTGCTAGATTTTTTCGGAACCAAAACTACTACATGAAAATATAGTTCTCAAAAGCTAAAAAGCAAATAAGTTTCCAATACAGAAAATAACAAAATTCCTCGCAAAATTGTTTTTTTTTATATACATGTACCTCTCCTGAAAATTTGTTTCAACCTCAAATTGCAAAGATTAAAAAAAAGTAAGCTTCTGGGTAGTCCCTTGTTTGACGCTCTTCCCCTCTCCTTTAGCAGCTTAACATGTCTAGTGTAGTTTCGCTAAAATTTGTTGTTGTGTTGCTTATCGAACTGTACAAACTGTATGTATAACATCGGTCTACGCTATACATATATAACTCACAAATATACTTCTGTAAATACATCATTTTTACGTATTGCCAAATGTAAATAAAACTCGAAAATAATCACAAAAATCCCTATAAAAAGTGATACACATACACGCACAGTTACTCACTAGCTTTTTTGTTTTTGATTTTAAGTATTTGTAATCCGTTAAAAACTTGTTGGTGTCAAAGCAACCCTGATTTTTATAGCTAAGAACCCAATTTGTTTTTTTTTTTTGCTTTGACAGAAATCACAATTTTAGTCTATCGATGGCTGAGTGGAAGATCGACCTATCTCGGCAGCCAGTTCGAAAATGCCCTATCTCAGAAAACTTTTTAAGAACGCCCTATTTCAGAATTTTAGTGAATCGGCAGCTGAGATAGGGCGTTCTTCAATCAAATTCTGGAGTAGGGCGTTCTCGAAAAGTTTTCTGAGACAGGACGTTTTCGAACTGGCTGCCGAGATAGGTCGATCTACCACTCAGGTATCGATATGAACATATGTACAAAACATACATACATATGTATTTTTGCAAATTTTTTCGCTTGTTGCAATTTTTCTACATATTTAAACGTTTTTGTGAACTTTGCTGAGTTTTTATAATTTAAAAGCCAAATTTTGGCAATTTCTCTTTACTTTTTTAATAATTTTCTATAATTTTTTAAACCTTGCTTCTCTATTTCAAATTTATTATAATTTAAGAATAAATTTTGGCAAATTTTCTAATTTTTTTTTTAACTTTGCTTATCGTTTTATAACCTTTTATTTTTTGAAAAAGATTTTGGCCATTTCCTAATGTTGGCAAAGTTTCAGCCTATGTTTTAAGGTAAAAATATATTTTAATAATTTTTCTATAATTATTTAATCATTAAAATTTTTATTAATTTAAAAATAAATTTTTGGCTATTTTCTAAATTTAATTTTTTTTTAAACTTTGCTAGTTTTATAGTAACTTATACTTTTTTGGCAGATTTCCTATATTTTTTTATAATTTAAAGAGAATATTTAACAATTTTCCTAATTGATTTTTTTAGCTTAAATGTAATTTTTTTATAATTTAAAAATAAACTTGGAAATGTTCCTTTGCTTATCTTTATATAATTAGCTATTTTTCTAATAACTTTTTTTTAACTTTTGGCTTATCTCTTCATAATTTAAAAAATATATGACCTTATTCATAAAAAATAAAGTAGCTTTATAAAAGGTTTATTAATTGAAAATTGTATGAAAACGTCAATTTATAAAGCTCTTTAAACCTACTTTTTTATGAATAAGGGCAATAGAATATAAATTTTTTTAAACCTTGCAAATCGTTTTGTAAGTTTGTATAATATAAAAATATATTTTGAAATTTTTCGTTACTAATTTTTTTAATTTTATTTATTGATAGTCTAAAGGCAGGTTTCTAGTTTAAAATTTTTCTGATTTTTTCTTATTTTCGGTATTTTTTTATAATACACTTGTATACATAATAAAATGAATTTTGAAAATTTTCCCAATTTAATATTTGTATTATTTTATATTTATTTTTTACAGATTTTGCTTTCCTTTTATGATTTTTTTATAATTTACAAATACATTTTCAGAATCTCAGCAATTTTTTGTAAGCTGCCTATTTATATAATTTAAACTAAATTTGTTTGATTTCAATCAAGCTTTTATGTTAAACAAAAATTTAAATGCATATGTGTAAGCAAAAATTGTTCATACCTTAGTTTCCTTATCTCAGCTTTATTAAAATTACCTGAAATTGTGATTTCTAGCCAATAAATAGCATACCATTTTTCATAGCCTCTCCCTTATTGCTCTAATTCAAAGCCTAATCAAACATTTTTCTCACTCTTTCCGAATCTTTTGCAGATGTAAATTAAATAATTTAACAAAAAATAAAACAAAAAATAAAATATCTAATATTTACAATGTGTTTGTGTAGGCGCAGCTAACGGGAAAAAGCGCGTTAAATAAACCAAATAAAAATTCAAAGGAACGTAAAATGAAAAATTTATTTATTTCAAAAAACAATAATACATAAATTTTACGAAACTCCGCGAATGCCAAGATTTTTTATAAAAAAAAAAATAAAGCTAACATTACCAAAGCTATTAAAGAAATTATCTGCCTGCTCGCAAGCCGCCTGCCCGTTACGAGTAGCAACACCATTACCACCAACAACACCGCTACTCTGCTACTTTTACTACTACTATCCACTACTAATTACTACTTACTACCTTTGTTAAGAACTCTACAGTAAAATTGCTGAAAAACTTCTAACAACCACCTGAAAATATAATAATCGTACTGCCAAAAATGTTTTTATATACTTTACAATACTAAAAATGCTAAATAAAAAAATACCAAAATTAAATATGCAGACTAC